CACGAAATGAGACAGAGAATCAGTTGGTAGACTATGAATTTTAAGGAGGAATGTGACGCAAAGAAACCCAAACTGGTACTGCCCAAGTTTCATTCCCCTTTCCTGGGAGAAAGCCAAGGTCACTGAAGGAAAGAGAAGTTAACACCTGGGCTCCCTAGAAGCTGTGAAAGGAAGGGCCTGTGTTTGCACTGGTGCTGAGATCTATTGTGGGGGCTGAGGCTACTCCATTCAGCAAAACCAAAACAGAGCATGTAAGAAAGATTGGGAGCTGTTTCTTCCTCAGTACCCATGTATCTGACCAGAAGAAATAGGTTCCTAGTTTTTTTTTTTTGGGGGGGGGGAAGCCTACACAATAGACAAATTGAATAAATAAAGAAATTGAATAGTTATAACCTTCCAAAACAGAAAGCATCAGGCCCAGCTGGTTTTACTGGTGAATTCTACCAAATATTTAAGGAAGAAAATAATACCAATTCTCTACGATTTCTTCCAGAGGAGAGAAGTGGAAGGAATACTTCCTTAACTTATTCTAACTCATTAAAACCAGACAAAATATATCATAATATTGTTTTATGTGAAGGAACATTTCTGCATAGTATCATGATGTCTGTTAAGTTGTGGCATCATTTTGAGGCCAATCACTCAGAATTTAAAGAAGAAAGAATTGAATATCTTAAGTGCAGACGTTATGAGATTTTTAAGGGTCAAAAATTATTATTACTTTTCAAACTAGGAATGCAAGGCCACTGAAGAATCCTACGATTTCAATTGCTAATAAGGCAAGTGTCGCTTGCTATAATCCACTGCAATGTTGTGCTTTATGAAATATTTGGTCTCTATCCACAGTTCCTGGCTCATAGCTCCTCAAACGCTTGGAATTTATATGTGTTGAGAGTAATAAATGTGTCTTTTATGTTAATGAGGTGACTTTTGGAGCCCTGTTAGCTCCAGGCTCAACTTCTTGGGCATCCTTTGCTCCCTGTCAATCTCCTCCTCTCCACTCTGGGTCACCTACTCCTCCCCAAAATAAAACCATCTTTTTTTTAGGTTCAAAGAGCATTCCTTTTTACTTTTTGAAGATTTTCCCCACCTTTATTGAGGTAAATTGAAGTATTCTAAACCTCACGTATTTAAAGTATTCAATCCTATCAGCTGTGACATACACACACCCATGACACCATGAACTTGCAAACATTTTCATCTCCCAAAGTTCCCTGTTCTTTTTCATCCATTCCTCCCTCCATCCCATCCCCAACAACCTGCTAATCTTTCTTTCTCTGTAGATTAGCTTGTATTTTCTAGAGTTTTGTATAAATGGAAGCACACAATATGTTCTTTCTCTCTTTTTTTGGCCTCTCTTCTTTCATTCAATATGATTTTGAGATTCTTCAGTATTGTGTGTATTCATAGTTTATCTTTATTGCTCAGTTGTGTTCCATTGTACGGCCAAACCACAATTTGTTTATCCATTTTCTAATGGTGATTTGCGTTGTTTCTGGATTTTGGCTATAACAAGTAAAGCTCCTAGGAACAGTCACGTGTCAGTCTTTGAATTTCATGCTTTCATTTCTTTCTGGTTAAGTATCTAGGAATGGAATGGTTGGGTCCTATGGTGAATATATATTTAACTTTTTAAGAAACTGCCAAACTGATTTCCAAAGTGGTTATACCACTTTACACTCCCACCAGCAATGTGTGAGAGTTTTAATTGCTCCACACCCTCACCAACACTTGCTATGGCCAGTCATTTAAAATGTAACCACCTCATTGGGGTTTGTTGATTTTAATCAACAGTTTAGCTACCTCTTGGCTTCATTTCTACCAAGGGGAACACATGCTCAGGTTTACAGGAAATAAGACCAGATTATGCCGTTGTGCCAGTGGAGTTAACAGTGGCCTTCTTACCCTTTAAAGTGCCCTGGTTTGGATATAAAATATGTGGTTTCTCTATTTCTAACTCAATTAGCCATGACCCCAGGCTGTCCACCCATAGCCACAAAAGCCCAGCAAGGCATTCTGTTCCAAAAGGACTTTTCCCTCCTCTAAAGAGGATTTTCCTGCTTTTCTTAAACAATTTTTTTTTCTTACTCCAACTGGATTACAGGAAGAAGGGAGGGGCATAATGTAGTGTGGTATTGGGGTGGGGGGCAAGTGGAAGGTGACAGATGGACAAGGTCAGACCAGGTCCTGATTGCATCATTGAACTGGATGCAGCCATGCTTGAGGCTACTCATCAAGTTTTCCATGCAAGAGCCAGGAGATCCCCTTTTCGGTCTAAGCTATAGTTAGACTGGGATTTCTGTCACTTGCAATTAAGAGTCCCGACTAGTATGCACAGTGGGGGACCATGCCTCAAAGGCAATAGCATTTTACTGAGCCTTGGCTGCCTCTCATTTCACATCTGTCTTCCCTGAGAGTCACTTTCTGCTGACCCGGCCCTGGGAGTTTAAAGCAAAAGCGTTGGTCACATTGGTTCGAGATGAACTTTCAGAGAGCACTGTCTGACCAGGGTCAAAGTATTTAACAATCACCACATGGTTTGTTTAATCCAAGACTCTAGCTTCCGGTGTCCACTGTAATGCAGCAGGATCTTTAGTCTTTAACTCAGCTGTCATTTCGTGGTATGACCCCAAAACGTCTGAATTCTGGGAAGCCTTCATTTCCAACTAGCATTTCCTCCCTTCGTAGTGACTAGACTTCATGCTTATAGGAACGTCCATGTTTACTCAGCGCTGGATGTGCACAGGAGCAGCGCCGTGAGTACCTGCGGG